AGGTTTCCAATTTACAGATATCCTTGATACTAGAGAAACAAAGGAGGCATTTAAATCAGTCGGGAGGACCAGAAAAGGCTTCATGGAAGAGGTGGTCTTTCATCTTCACTTGGAGAGATAAGTAAGAGTTAGCTAGAAAACCAAGGTGTGGGATCAGGAACAAAAGACATCAGAGCCCAAGGGAAGAGGTGGTGGCTGGATCCAAGGCAAAAAGCAGGATGCAGCATTTGGAGACTACAAGGAACAATTGTGAAATAAAGTGGCAATAAGCTGAGAGGTGGGAAGAGATGAGTCCAGCTAAGAAGGAAGGCGCAGGATCATGAGGGGCCTCACAGTAAGCATAGGGGCCTGACTAAAATGCTAGTATAATTCCCCATGTTACAGTGAGCTATCACCTTAGAGGTGCGGGGTGACAGACAAAGAATACTTGATGATATGACCCAGGAGGAGACAGAAAAACACAGATGCACCGAGTGTCCACAGGGTCAGGTTCCCAGACCACTTTCAGCCTGTTCCTTCCCACTGGTTTCCATCCTCAGGGCAGCCTCCATAGTTATCATTTCCCCAGCACACTCACAGGAAGCAAGTTATCCCACAGAACACCCCCAGGATGTGGCTGACAGACTTCCTGCCCACTTGCCCCTCACTTTGTCACCAGGTTAAGCAATGGCAGCCAATCAGAGGTTGGGAGGTTGTTCCAGAAGATTTCCCAATTTCTTTGTACTAGTCTATGAAAAAAGTAGCTTGGAGGAAGGCCTATGCTACCTCTGAAAGACCAGAAAAGATAAAACACTGTAAGACATCATATATAAAGCAGTTGCAGCAGTGTACACAGGCACCATACACAGGATTGTATATGCCCCAAGAAGATCTTAAAAAAAGACAAGGCAGGGCCCTCCCTGGTGGCGCAGCGGGTTAAAACACTGCACTATGAAGCTTAAGCCACTTCTGCATGAGTTCGATCCCCACCTGCCCGGGAGGAGTCCACATGGCGTGGCAGACCTCTCCTGACCCGCCCAGCTGCTCCCCTCAGCAGTGTACTTTGTCGATCTGCCTGTTCTGCTCCCCATTCTGTCTCTGGTGAATCCTCTCACCCTCCGCATCTCTGGCCTATACCCCAGTTCTATATGAATAAAAAAAAAAAAAAAAAAGACAAGGCATTGGCTACAACACCTCCAAACATAAAAAGAAAATGACTCCTTTCAGAAGTTTTTCTTATTCTTGAATCCACTGATTCACTAAATTTTTGAGTGAACTTTTTCTGAGAAAAGCTTGCTTTGGCATACTTTTTTTTTTTTTTAATGGGAGTTGTGTGTCTTGGGAAAGACTTTCCCTTGAGAATATTTCAAGTATATTTTCATTTCTCACAGAACATGTATTGAAAGCCTAGAAAGAACATGCACTCATTCAAAACTCTGAACGTATTTTCCTAAATCATTCAAACAAAGCTATCAGTGGTGTTAAACCCTTAATTTTAAAACAAAATCCTGTTCTCTTTCTAGCCTCATTATTAAAACAGATTTTTTAAAGGTTTGTTCATAACAGGATTGCCATTTTCCATGCTGCCTACCAATTATAAACAGAAGCAATTTTAAAACCAAACGAGGGCTCCCTCTGAAATATTCAAGATGTATTACCATCTGGTTTTATATCAGCCTTTGAACAGATCCAAAATCACTATTACCAAGCATTATCAAAAATAGTTCATCTTCCTTCAAAGCACATGTTTCTTTCAAAATACTTTCAAGTCACAAACTTTTACTTAAAAGTTTATCTAATTTTTCAAACTCTACCAGGCGCAAGAAATGTCACCCATAGGCATACACATAACTGATTTATAGACATAGGTAACTCAGTAATACTGAGGTCTTTTAGAAACAGCTTCTTTAAGAAAACACACATACCTGATTGATTATTTGGGACATTACCGAAATGAAGGAGTAACTAGTATTATTTCCAACATACATACTATGCCCACATGAATTTTTCTAGTTGATTGAGAAGAGATATCAGAAATATCCCACAAACTAAATAAATCCATCACCTTTATTTCCAAGACAAGAGACAACAGTGCTTCAAAAGATACTCAGTTAAAGATCAGCACCCATAATCAAATAGAATATTTCAGGTGAGGAAGGGAAGGTAGGAATTCCAACCCACCACAACAGATACAGAGGCAAGACATTATCTTTAGGCCTTAGAATGATCCAACTTTTCAAAATTATTTCAATTTTGAAATTGAGACTGGTATGTAAATAAATCTTCAGATGAAATTTTTCTTCTAAAAAATATTTTCCTGCCACCTAACAAAAATATTTCTTTATCTCTTACTCATTCACTTAATCCTGAGTATTTACTCCAGAAAAGGATAGATGTTCTTCCTGTCTCCATAGAATTTTAAATCCAGCAACAGCAAGAAGAAGTGATGATAAACACAGTCTTTTCTTTACTGTGATTATCATGCCCTCCACATATATGCACACATATTCCACAAAGCAGCTTATAATAGTAATTACAAAGCAAATCTCGCTTAAAAAAAGATTAAAAAAAAAAAAACAAAACACTATCTGGGGCCCTCCCTGGTGGTGCAGTGGGTTAAAGCACAGCACTGCAAGCCACTTCAGTACCAGTTCATCCCTCTCCCCAGAGGTTATCCACACCCAGCAAACCTCTCCTGTCTTACCCTGCTGCTCCCCTCAACAGTGTACTTCATTGATCTGCTTGTGCTACTCCCCACTCTGTCTCTGGTGAATCCTCTCACCCTCTGCACCTCAGGCCTGTCCCCCAGTTTTGTATGCATAAATAAATAAATCTTAAGAAAAAAAACATCTGGTTCAACCTGGTCATGTCATTGGAAAGGACAGAGGCTTGCCAGGCCAGATTATTTCATCTCTGTCACCTGCCTCCTTGGAGAATAAGACTGAAACTACTTGTGACACTTTTTAAAAATTTTTTTCATTGCCACTTCTGAAACATACAATTGTCCTTTAGATGCTAACTTACACATAATACAACTCAATTTAAGTTTATGGTGTTTAATCCATATTTTCTTTCTATTCAAAACCCTGAAAGAAATGCTTTAGTCTGTCAACATATAATGGTGCTTTTGGAGAGGTTTTAAATATTTTAATCAGCAAATGCATTTTGGAAAATAAAGAATAAAACCAACAACCCTAAGGAAACTACCCAAGACCACCACATGAGTTTAGAACACAAAACACACACATACCTCCTTTATAATTAAGTGGGGAAAAAATATAATTCAACTAAACTGGAACAAAAAATAAGTTGGAAACAAACTGAATGTACCTGAATGTACTACAGAAAATAACACAGATCATGATAATATATACCACTGCCAACATTTTATAGCCAAGAAGTTGAGTGATTTAAATTAGATACTTGCTACAGTAAAGGGGTAAAATCATTTTAAAAACAAAACACCCTCTTCACAAAGCAACATTCTAATTTTATGCAACAGTCTTTTCCTATTAAAGGAAATGGAACAAAATTTCCAATATAACTCAACTGATCAAGCATAACATGTGAAACCAAAATTTCCTCATAACCTTTCCCTATTATAAGATTATGTATATCAAATGTAATATTCTCCCAAAGGAAAAACATGCTCAGTATTTCTTCACATTTGGGTCCTCATTCAAATACCCACAACATAGAGTTGTAACAGCTTTATTAGACTCACAGAAATAGCTGAGTAACTATTATTCTATTTGTAAATAGCCTCTCTTCATTCCATTCCTCTTTCTTTACATATGTAAATTATGGTGTCCTAGCCAGAGCCCACCACCAGCCACCACAACCAAATTATCCTCCAGGGATATCAATCTGGTTTGTTATTCTTGCCTCAGCATAAATAAAAAGGAAAGAGGAAGAAGTAGCTATTTTCAGGAATCAAAATTTGATTAAATTTCTGGCTTACTGGTATATGTTTTTAACCTCAAAAGCTTTACCCTGTGCTTCTAAATGTTTGACTTTTTTTTTAGCGCCAAGATGTGGTGCAGTGTTTCCCATAAAAATTGCTTCACGTAATTTATGCCTCGTTTTAGAGGGAGCATTTGGTCAAATTCTAATATGCTCTCTGGGGAGTCAATACCAACTTCTAGCAGCAGACCTAATGTGCAAAACAGAATTATGAACCACACACACAAAGCTATATATTCAAACGGACAGTCTTTTCTCCTACTCTTGAGTGTTGTCACCAGACACACTATTTGATAGCTATCTTAGAATACATATCTTTCTGGTGAGGTAACAAATGGACACAAAAATGTACAGAATACATTTCTCTTCCATCATTAAAAGAAAATCAAAATAGTGTTTAGAATGTCATCGTTTAAACTTTTGAATTATTACTCAATTAATAATAGATATGTGCATTTCTACAGGCTGCAAATGTTAACCGAGAAAAATGTATGGCATAGGCCTGCCAGAAGGAGAAAGTGTCCAGCTGTCGCCATTTTTCTTGATTGTAATAAATGGTTTTGTTTCTGTGGCCACGAAAACTTGACAAAGGACCCTCCCATCTTTCTTTCATGCATATGATTTTAATGTAAATCTTGCAGAGATATGCTAAGGGGAAAGGAGAGAATGTACTACAATATTGCACTCATCTGGCTGCATTAGGCTCAAAATATGAATCTCAAGGATATAGATTTGTCACATGTCAGCCCAAGCTGAAGTTATCCACTAAGAATATTTTCACTATTCAGCTGACAGTCAGAATCTACTTCCACAAACCTGCATACTGATGAGAGCCATGGCTCCCAGTACTGCTCTCCTTTTCTTCTTAACTACCTCTTCCCTCTGCAGAGGAAAGAAGCCATTTGACTAATTTATAAGTACCCTGACTATCGAACCATCTAAAAAAAATTTTACTCATCAATAACAGTCAACTAAAAGCAAAAGCACATCCCACAGGAATCAGAGAATAAAACAGGCAACACCAGCAGGTATTGATCAGCGAGGCTCCAGATACTCACTAAAGGCAGCCACCGCCAGAGCCAGTGTGACAATAATGGAGAACCAGGAGACCCACAATGCCTTCTTTCTGTAGTTCTGGGCTTCATGAGGTTTTAGTCGAGTGCTGCTTTCTAGCAAGCCTGACAAAAACAAGGAGAAAGGAAGTTAGATGTTTCCTTATTAAGGAAACCACAGCCAAGGCAACACATTCTTATCCAAGGACTGCAAACTAACAGCCAGTGCATCAAGATGTGTTTTGTTTGGCCCACGCTATATTTAAACAATTAAGAAAGTTGATATGAAAATCAATCTTTCTGGCATCTATAGAACAATCCTAGGTTCTGGGAAAATAGGCGTGTGTTCCTGCAGAGTAACAGCAGCTGACCTCTTTAGAAGGCATCACAGACCCCACCACTCAACCTAAAGTAGGATTCCAGTTAGACCCCTGCCCTGTGTCAACTTGCTTGTCTCACGCAGGTGCTGCCCCTTCCATGAAGCCCTGTTATGAAAAGCAGCACGAAGGGCTTTGGGGGTGGGGGTGAGGGGGGTCCTCAGCTGTGGGCACTGATTTGCATAAATTCACAAGCAGAGGCCCTGCTGATTGACTGGGTTTTGCCCAAAGTGTTGAATCATGAAAGACAAAAGACTTCAGTGCTCCCCTTGAAAGTAACAGAAGGGCCATTTCTCTTTAACCACAGCCAACAACAATCATCAGGACTAAATTACACACCAATAGTTTCTTCCATCCTCTTTCTACTCTACAGCATCTTTATGCAAAAAAATTCTCAGATTAAAGTGAACCTGCTAAGACTAGAGGTAGCTTCTGGGGTAGGTCAAGCATAACTTTTATTTTTGTCTCCTATGGCTTCAACATTAAAAAATCTTGACAGTACCAGAAATATTCATGGTGACCCCCAAGGCAATGCCATAATTTCAACAGCCTTGGGTTAAGGACTAAAACATTTCTGTATGATCCTGATTTATATTTTTAATTCCTTTTTGAGAACAGATCATATATGTCATCTTATGCGTGGAGATCAAATTGAGTCATGCATTCCACATAAACAGTTTAACATACTATCTCTGGTTAAAAAGTCCATAATATATCCTCAGAACAGAACAGCCTCATCACAACAGTTCCCATGAAGAAATGTGAGTCAAAGCTTGAGCACGCATTTGTAAAATATTGCAGAGATGCAACTAGTCACACCTACCCACCATGTAAAGGGTGTCATCCCATTTGAAAGAATGAACACCACACTAAGCCTCTAATTGCTCAAAACTGCACCCTGTTCAAAAATTGTAAAAAGCATTTCTCAATTCTATTTTACCACCCAGATTCAAGTACACTGAACAAATCAAAATGAAATGACAAGAAGGCTGCTTTAATAAACCTAGTTTACAATCCAGAAATCTTTAAGTAATCAAAATCTATAGAGTTATATAGGATCAAAAGACAGATGAGCCTGCAAGGATAGGTACATAATTTCCATCTCCCTATAAAACTCTCCCTATATCTTCCTTTAAAAATACACTTATGTAGAGGGGGGAAAAAACATATCAAACTGTTTTTGGCAAAGATGATTTCAAATTAACACCCCTTTGTCCATCCTTCTGTCCTTTTGTCTACTTATCCTCTAACTGCAAAAAAAAAAAATTCTAATTGATCATCTAACTATGATCACCCTTGTCTGTCTCCAGAGCCACAATCTAGAACAAACAGGTCCCATGCACTCACAAATAATCTAGTTCCCTTTTCCCAAATGATATAAAAACCTTTCTTTCATCCTGGCCAACTGATTTTCAGAAGTAAAGCTGTAATATGTAAGTAGTGATTCAAATAAGCAGTTCATTTGTTGAGTATTTTGGCAGCAACAGTCTCAAGAGATCTATCCACTAAGGGTAAAAACAAGGTTTCTTATAAAAGTAGATTTAATTTTGTAAGAGAAAAGAGTAATTTAGGTTTTATATTCTGTCACATGACATTTCTTTTCCCTTTCAAAGCCAAGTGTTTACAATAAAAACTGGTCCTGACTACACTTGCCAATCTACATGCCTTGCTCCACCATAGGCCAATACTCCCAAAGGGAATTTTAGATAACAGTCCATATAGGTTGGACAGCCCTGTTAATATGGTGGCTTGTGGGTCCTCTCCATAATAGGATTGGTGGTTATTCCCCTGGTGTTTAAATTTTAAAAAGAGTAAATTCTATGAAAGATTATCCAAGAGGCTTTCGATTTCCCAATTCTAGCCAACCTTTGCTAATTTTCTTAAAGGTTTTCCTGTCTATATTATAGCCAATACCAAGAATGAAAACTTTTCCATTCCTCAAAGGGAAGTAGAATAAGATAACCAACAAAAATTGAGCTCATAAGTAACAGGCCCACACACAGGTGCCTCCATCTACACCCTGTGCAAGTTGTATGCACACTTACAAGCAGTGGAGATGATTGAAATTCCTAAGGTGAGTAAATCTGAAGCTGGGTTTCAAAGGTAGACAATGGCAGCTGTCTAGACAAGCTAAAATAGGCCTCAGATTTTCATGTAGGGATGAGTCCTTTCTACCCATAATTAACCTGGCAAGCATAAGGGTTGTAATGATGAAGGACCTATGCCTAAGAGGATAAAAGATCATATAGGGAGGTTAAAATTATCAGTCATTTCCATGCTAGTGTGAAATAGTTCCAATTGCTTCTCCTCAAAGTTAGGCATTCTAGGATTCTCTGAAGGAATGAGATTGCAAGGAAATGTTAAAGTTTACAATGTTCTCAGGCTAGGCTAGCCTCTGTGGCTTGTGATAGAGTGGTAGGGCAACAATTGTAGAGCAATGCCTACATTAAAAAAATGGTGGGGGTGCAAACAGCTAAGACAAATTTGGCCTATTTTTTGTGTTTAGTCTCAGAAGGTCTTAGATCACAGAGCTCTTGCTCCCTGAACATCAAGACTTAATCAAAAGGCACTTCAGTTATTTACATTATGAGCTAGCAAGGTCCCAGGGAACTAGCTTATATCACCTATAAGGGGAAAATATATAGCTCCCATTTTCCAAAACATTTTGGAATTACAAGGCAGCCCTTTAACTAGAATGAGATGCAGTCTGTAATACAGCACTGATTACTCAGAAGGAATATAGATAAAAGAGAAGACCAGATACCAATACATATCCAGATCTCCACTCCCACACACACTTATAGGTATTCAGTACTAAAAGGAAGTGAGCCAGACATGATGGAATGATAACACAGCACCAACTGCTGAGGTTTCCTTCTCCCTAAATTCTCTCACCATTGGGGAAAAGGTAGCAACAATGGAACCAACCCCAAGGGATTAAAAAAATGATAATGGAAAGATACAGTCAATCCCCCTCTCTCTGCAAAAAAACCCCACAAATACAAGATATAATAAAACTTCACAGGTAACCCTTTAATAAAAACGACTCAGTAATTAACTCTTTGCTGTCAGGAACAGACCAAACAAAAGAATGTCAATATGACTTTCAGCCCTCAATGCCACCCAGCACTGGTTTCTTGGGTGCTACGGTTCATCCTAACAGAAAGGCTGTGTATGACATGCAGTGCTTCACACTGTCACCATTTATAAACAGTGAGTGCTTTCATGCTATAATATAATGGAAAATGAAATTCAGTTGATCGGTGAAAAATAACCTTAAGAATAAATTCAGATGGGCTTCTGTACACTTGAGCATGACTAGGAGATGATGCTTAATGTTCACTGGCACTTCTTTCCCTCCTATCATTTCATTAGGGTGGGGAGATATGGGCTACTTTGACAGATGACCTGCAATGCTACAAAAATAAGCTCAGCCCTGTGGTCTTTCTTCAATTAAAAAAAAAATTTAATCCTAGTTATTAGTTGCAGAAGGACCGGTAATTAATATTATCTATAATAAAACGTATAGGTTTTGTTGGATGCTTGCGATGTCACCAATAATCAGCCCAAAATGATATCCATTAATGTGAGAAAAGGAGGAAAAGCTGCAACATAGGTGCAGAACTCCTTGCAACTGGAGCGGCTCCAGGTCTCGCTGAGCATCCCTGCCTATTCAGTAGAAATTGTCGTTTCCATGTCTTTCTATTCCACATGCTACATTTTACATTTTCTAAGAGGAAAGAGATCGTGTCTGCGAACACTAAACCGTAATAAAAATGTACAGAAGATACTAAGAATAGGACAGAAACCTGCTAAGACTAAAATATATAAATCAGCCACGACCAACAAAATAAGGCTTCCAAGAAAAGGGGGTGGAGGTAGCAAAAGCCGGCTCCCCACCGTAAGGGCTGGCTGTAACAATCAGGCTTCAGTCACTTGCCGGTTTTGGCAGGACCACTGAATCATTTTTTGAGGAGGCCCATGATTTTGGTTTCAGCAAAAAGCAGAAAAGGTATAGACGTGGCCATTAACAGGAGATGACTAGGAGGCTCTCTTCTCTGAGCCAAAGAAAACGAGGGAGGGAAGGAAAGAAAATTAAATGTGAGAAAGATCCGGTAACGAGCAAGGAATCTATCTTGTTTCCTGCCGGCCATTCAAAGGGGTCAAGGGTTCTCGGCGGGAAGGTAGCGTTTGGCCTCCCCAGAGAAAAGAGATTCCTTGGGTTCCAGGCCAGTGCGTTGGAGGGATTCTGAAGAACATGGGGACACGCGCTCCAGGAACCACCAAGTTTCAGCGGTATCCACCCAGACGAGGTTGGTGACCCGAATTCCAGTAACCCAGTCCTCCGCCCCCAACGCCTATAACGGAGAGTGGCCCTTGGCGAACTGGGTCTCCTGTGAGTAGGTCGGGACCATCCCAACTCGCCTTCTTTTGCCCTGTGCGGGATCTGGCAGCCCGGCGGCAGGCGGGGAACTCCCAGAGTCTAAACCCGCAAAGGGAAGTTCTCCCCCGAGAGGCAGCGGGGGTCTGCAGGACTAGAAGGAAAGGTCGCGCGGAGCTTAGGGTGCTGGGAGCTTAACAGAGCCTGCAGTCCCCCGGGAGCGCTCGGCTCCGAAAGCCAAAAAAAAAAAAAAAAAAAAAAGAGCGAGAGAGGAGATAAGAAAAACCGTTTCCCACAAACTTTTCCAGGGGCGCCCGAGGGGCTGGAGGAAAGGAGGACGCAGGCTCAGGCAGGTCGAACGCGAGGCAGCGGGGCTCGGATTCGGGGAAGGAGCCACTGCCCAGGCGGCGCCCGCAGCGAGAGGTGGGGCTGCGGCCCCCTGCTCTCCTCGCCTTCGCGGGAAGTCCGGCTCCAAGCCCTAGCTCGCTCCTAGGCGCTGAGCCCAGTGTCCGGCCCAAAATCGCGTGCGGGGAAAGAGCTGCCGGTGGCCACGACTCCTCATCTCCCCGCCCGGCTGCAGAAGCCAGGACGGGGCGCTCACCTCGGTCCTCCAGCCCGTCGCTGAACTGGCCGCTCTCGCTGATTCGCAGCTGCCGCTCCTCCTCTGATTGCGGCGGCTCCCGCGCTGGGGAGCTCAGCTGGCCCGGGCCGGGGGTGGGGGCCAAGGGCGGGTGGCCCCGGGGCGGCGGCGGGACGGTGGGCCCCGTGGGGCTGCGGCGCTCACTACCCACGGCCGGCTCCATGGCGCGGGGCAGTGGATCCGGGAGGCGGCGACGAGCGCGGCGGGGACTCAAGGCAGAAGTGCGAGGCGCCGCGGCTCGGAGCCCGCGGAGGGACGGACGGACTGCGCGGAGAGGGAAGGGCGGGCCCAGCCGAGTAGAGGTGCGCTGGGTGCCAGGGGGCGGGGGTGTCGGGGAGCCGTGCGAGTCGCGCGGCTGGTGGCAAAGGCTCGAGACGCCCAGTAGCAGCCGCGCTCCGCCCCCGGAGGCAGGTGCGGGCGGCAGGGACCCGCCCAGAGGCCCCGGCGCGGGAGTCCGCGTCCCGAGGCCAGCTGAGAGGGACCCCGCGGGTCCAGACTTCTGAAGGATAGAAGGACTATCGGGGTAAGGGACCAGCTGTCGACAGGGAGAGGGCTCAGTGAGGGCGTGACGGAAGACCTGCCCAGCCCGCCGGTGGAATGGTGCACCGAGGGAACCTCCTCGAACCGAATCCACCGTCCGGGAAGTCGGCGCCCGATTTGGTACCTTTTTCTTCTGAAGCTGTGTGGGTTTCAGAGATCGAGGCAGGTTTCCTCCTGGGACGCATCTTCACCTCTCATCTCAGGAACAGGAGGTTCACCTGCCCCGGTTCCCACCGGTCTCGGGCCTTCGGGGAGCTTTAATTGCCCGCTCAATTTAAAGGGGGCGGATGCCTTTTCAGATCACTGGCTTCTCAGGAAAATTGGGCCCCCACGGCCCCTCCATTGCAACTATCTCTGGGCCTTTGCCCCACTAAGTCTTCACTGAGTATTGAAGTCTAGCCCATTCTTCAGGACTTGGAGGGAAGCCGCCCTTTTAAAAGAAGCCGCTCTGGTTTCCCCAGTGCTGCCCACAGTGCCACTGCCTATAGCCACGGGAAGCTCTGACCCGACGGTTCGGCGCGTCTCAATATGGAGGCCCCTACCTGGTCCACGTCCGGGCCTTTGACCACTCGGAAAGTGTACTAGACATGTAACATTCAACCTCAAATCTAGATTTCATCTTTTTCAGTCTCTAAATGTAAATCTGAGTCCCCTAAAATTCCAATTACTAATTTAAAGTGCACGTAGTTAAGGGAACTGTGTTTTTGAAGAGTAAGTAAGCCATTTTGCTTTCTCTTCACCTTGCCTATGATCAAAAACCGGAGCGGGATTTGAAATGCAGCGAAAACACAAGAAATGGGAAGAGTCTCTCGTTTTACCTTGTCTAATGGGGTAGAAATGAGATCTGGATTGACCTTTTTGACCAGTCATTTCTTTAATTACAGATTAAATGAGTTGGATTAGATCATCTCAAAGGCCCCTTCTTGCAGGATAGAAAGGAAGTGAAGAAAGGAGACAGTAAAGAAACTAGGAAGAAATTTGCAATCATTATTTAAAGAACAATGAAAACTACCCAGTTTTCATACTGTCCTCCGAGGTAGATGCTCAAGATTATTTTCAGATATCCCTTAGCCCCTCACCTGCAGACATTTCTCTTTCAGGTTTTCCCACTTGATTCCTGCCATTAGTTCTCAAATATTAGAATCACCTGGAGAAGTTTAAGATCTAAAATAACCACGATTTGCCCATTGCTAGAGATTGTTAACAACGGTGATGAAATTGGTCACATCTGGGAAATTGGCGTATTTTGGTTGTTTTTTTTTTCTTTTTAAGGTCCCCTCCCATTCTGAGAAGCATCTAGGAAGCACTTATACATTTATCTAAGTTTATTTAAATGCTGATTTCATGTTGTTTCAAAATTCTGATTTAGTAGCTCTAGGGTGTGGCTGGGAATCTTTATTTGAGTAACACCCCACCACTACCCCCAACCAAGGTCTGTGTACTCACAAAGGACCAAAGGTCACTACTATTTCCTGTTTCTCAATTGGTTCTCTAGTGCAGCATCTCAAATGTGAGTGTGCAAATGAACACCAGGTTTTCTTGTTAAATGCAGATTTTAGCTCTGTAGGTGTGGAGTAGAAGCTGACATTTCAAACAAACCTCCAGGTGCTGCTGACACTGCTGGTCTGAAGACCACACTTTGAGAAGTAAAGATCTAGGAGTTATTCATTATTCATGGAATAAATATATTTTCCTTCAAGTCCCAGCTGCCCTGATTCAATAAGGCATTCTTGTTTCCTCCAGAAAGATTTCTCTGACTCCAGCTCCCCCTGGGCACTCCTTTTTGTGAACTCCAAGTGTTTAATAATTCACTGCTTATTTTATGTGTGAGACAGGGAGTGTGGTGCTTGCCTCATTCCCTCATCTTTGCTCAACCTGTTCATCTGAATGTCAAGGGCATAGCATTCCCCCAAACAAGCTGACTGACCAGGAGATAGTATTAGCTTACATTCTTGAGGGATATACTCTGGGCACCTTGATAAGCATCTTTGCACTGCAGTCTTTGTCACACAGCTATTACTATCTTCATTTGAAAAAGAAATCAAGGCATGTCTCTTTGGCTTTTAACAACACAACCTACTGTGGTACTGCCCCCTAGGGGTCATTTTAGAAAACTGCAGGTGCTTTAGTTACCCAATGAGGGGAGGAGGGAGCTACTGGCATTTAGTGTAGGGTGGCCAACCAGCAAGAAGTCCCAAATATGCAAGACATTGCAGTGCAATGAAGATGGTTTGTGTCCCAACATGGTTTTCATACGTCAAACTAGACATCTAGGAATGTTAAAGTGTGCTTCTAGTTAGATGAGAATTCTGTTTTACAAATAAACACAAAGTATGTTTAGATCACACTGAATGTTCCTCTGTGACAAGGAAGGATTCTACTTTGTTCACTGCTTTGGAAAAACTGGACATTGAAGCCATTTCTCTGAGTCAGCAATCAATACATCTGCACCTGTCACATGCAGAAATGCCACAGACTCAGGAATTCCATATGGAGATATGAATATATTTATTTAGTTCCAATTTCAAAATGTCAAAAATAAAAGTATCAGTAATAATCCAGAGTCTTCCCTGATGATTGTGCCGGGAAGTTTCCTTGTCTTGTCTGGTTTGAGCTAATTATTGTTCAACATGCCATGTGTGATTATTTGGGGGGCAGGAGGAATAGTCCATATTCTTGGACTATCTCTAAATTATAAATAAGTGCAAATATCTGATTATTTCCTTATTCCTTATGACCTCACACAGAACACTTAGAAAAACAAATACTAGTAAATATTTACTGTTACTCTTTCATTATAATTAAGTAATTATATGGATGTTTAAATGTGTGTGTTGACACAGTGTATTAGTTATATTTCATGATCACAATAGTGAATACAAAGTAACTGTTATAAAAGGGGGAACTTAACTATTATAGCCTAAGGAAAAACAACTACTAAATGTAATATGGGATCCTGGTACAGAACAGGACATTAGGTTAAAAATTAAGATTTTATGAATAAAGTATGGACATAAGCTAATCAAAATGTATCAGTCATGGTTCATTAAATTAAAAAAATGTACCAGACTCAATAGATGGAGAAACTGAACACAGAACATCTAGAAACTCTGTACTACCTTCTCCGTTTTGTTTTGTTTAATTCTAAAATTGTTCTAAAGAATAAAGTATTTTTTAAGTAAAATAAATTTGAGGGGGGAGCACTTGGTCTGTGAAGTATATATATCCTAACCTTCAACAATGCCCATTATGAAGAAATACCATGGAAATTGCTTCTTTGACTAGTGAAAAGGCAAAAGCTTCTCCTTAGCTTCCATCCTGGAAGCTAAGCTCAAGATAATCTGCATGCTGAAGCTGTGCATCTTGAGGAGACCAACTCTGAGAATCTTGGAGAGGACAGCTCTGAGAATCTTGAGATAATGATCTCTTTTCAGCAATTTCTCTGGCTATGCTTGCAGTCATCTATGCAGTCAGAAGCATTAGGGGGGTTGATTTGGCTGTTAGAAATTTTAAAATCATCCTGGTAAGGTGACTAGCTATCCCAACTTTCCCTGGACTGAGGAGGTTTCTCGTAACTTGTTCATGTCCATGTAGGACAAGGTGGTAACTTGAGTCCAGATGACTATAGAGTGCAGATTGAGTTGAGATACATTACTCTACAGAGCGCATAACAGTCACTTAAATGCAGGGATGACATCTAACAATTTTTTTTATGTCTTATATTATTAGTGTTTATTCTAATATGTTGTTCCATACCCATGTCTTAGTTTATAATATTTGGAGGGTGGAGGGCATTTATAATTTAGCACTCATATCGGCAGGTATATGTATATACACACACTTCTTTTCAAGAAAAGATCTTAGACCCATGTTTTTGTTTTTTTTTTAAAGATTTATTTATTTATTCATACAGAACTGGGGTACAGGCCAGAGGCTCAGGGGCGGTGAGAGGCTTCACCAGAGACAGAGTGGGGAGCAGAACAGGCAGATCTACGAAGTACACTGCTGAGGGAAGCAGTGGGCGGGTCAGGAGAGGTCTGGCTCGCCATGTGGTCTCCTCTGGGGCAGGCGGCAGGCGGCAGGCGGGAATCCAACTCATGCGGAAGTGGCTTCAGATTCTCAGTGCTGTGCTTTAACCCGCTGCGCCACCAGGGAGGGCCAGACCCATGTTTTTATAGACAATGTTGACTGTGGTGACCAGTTTACATACACTATCACCAAGCCCGATGCCTGGGGTTCATGACCATAGTTCATGCCTGCCAGAGTATGTTAGCTCCAAGTGTTGGCCATGTTTTTTAAAGACACACATAGTGGGGCCCTCCCTGGTGGTGCAGCCATTTAGGACACAGCATACTGGCCACAGCGCTTCGGTATGAGTTTGATCCCCAGCCCCAGAGGTGATCCACATGGCATGGCAGACCTCTCTTGACCCGCCCACTGCTCCCCTCAGCAGTGTATTTTGTCAATCTGTCTGTTCTGCTCCCCACTCTATCTCTGGTGAATCCTCTCACTGTACCTGCACCTCTGGCTTGTACCCCAGTTCTGTATGCATAAATAAATCTTAAAAAAAAAAAAAAGACACACAAAGTGGTAATGTTGGTGTTAGGATTTCTAAAGGCTATACAAATATAAAAAGAAACAATATTTTAACATGAAATCTGATATAGGGAAATCAGGTGTAGAAGCCAGGTTCTGTTTATATTTAGGTTTTCCACAGTGTATTATGTGGTATAGAGGTCCTAGGAGCTCTAAGCCAGGTTCTTCGTTATGTGATCCTTTTCCTCTGCCTACTAGCCTGATGCTGCTTTGAGTACTCAATCAGCCCAGGAGGCACCTAGAGGGTGGGGGAATTTTCCTTTATGCCCCAACATAGAGATTTTAAGCAAAACACATTAAAAAACAGTCACTATGGCACTGGCTTTTGAGGGAACAAAGAGTATTGTGGGGAAACAGGAAACAAAGCTCAAATCTGTCTCCCCATTATGGGGCAAAGACTGGTTTTAAGGA